AACAGCCGACTTTTGTCAGCCTGAGGAAGTCAGTACAGAGCTACTGGAGATGCAAAGAAGAGGGCTATGACATGAGACACTGGGGACACCCAGGCTGGAGACAGCAGTGCCAGCACCACAGCAGGGTTGATGAGACCCAGACCTGCTCTCCTGCCCGTCACCCCTGAAATCAACCTCACCACACGTACTAAAACGGCAATAAATTTCAGGGATTATGTCTCTCTGCTGTTCTTTGGAGAGGTCTTTGGTTGGATTTGAGGAGAATTCTTATTTGAACAATAGGTCAGATGTGAATTCACCTTGCTGCAGACACAGGAGCTCCAATCTGGGAGGCTTTTAGCCCTCTTAAAGAGAGAGAAAAGGAATAAAATCCTTGCTGTCTAATTACAGTGGTTACAGGCAATCAGCCTCGCAGCCATATTCCGATGACTTTTATTTGACACCGATTGATCACACTTTAATTGCCACCCAGGGCACAAGGAAAAACCCTCGTGAGGAGAGAAGTTTTGGAGAGTTACAGAAAGCACAGGGACAGCTGCTGCAGGTCGCAGGCAGTGACCTGGGAATTGCCTTCACAGAGCTTGGCTGGAAGCTGGGAATGGTCTGAAGGGAGCGGATCTCTGCCTGATCTGTGCCTGGCTCTGTGTCACAGTGCCTGCAGACAACAACTGCAGAACAGCCCACTGGGAATGGAGTGAGCTTCCAAGGGGGAGAGGAGCAGCCAAACACACCTTTGAAAGTGTTCCAGTATCTTTTACTGCACTGTAGCACTCCTCCAGCAGATAGTGGAGCAGCTCTCACACAGACAAGCGTGATGCCACTGATAAAAACTGATTAGGGTTTTTGAGATGGAAAAGTGCATCAATTCTGAACGCTGGATTTATCGCTGCAGAGAAGTGTTATACTCACAGCCTGACCATCCTGTGCCTGCCCCCAGCATCTGCAGAGCTCAGCAGCACTTCATGGGCCTTCTGCACACTCCCCCCATGCCAGGCAGGAAAACCTCCCACTGCAAAGGGAAAAGTGTGATGAGGAATTCTTATATTCTGTGAAAATACTGGTCTTTGTACACAGGGACAGGGTTGCAAACACTTGAGGACCTGTTTCAGGAGTGGGCAGTTCAGCCCCCTGAGCCTTGGGAGAGCTCTGCATGTCCCAAGCTGTTCCCACACACTGCTGGGAGTGCTGAGGGTGATTCTCTCATGGCCTCTGGCCACTGGCAGGGCAGCACACTGATGGGTTGAGGGGCAGCCTGGGCACCCTGGCCTGGGTGAGATGTGTGGGCAACGCCCAGGGGGAGCAGGGCATCCCAATTCCATGGGATAAAGCTCCTGTGGGGAGGAGCTCAGCTGACACCAGGGCAGGTAGGCAGGAGCCCCGGGATCCCTCAATGTGAGCATGATAAAGGAAAACCCTCCCTCTCACACAGCCAAAACACCACATTTTCAGACCTGAGTCATTCAAATGACAAAAGAGACAACCCTGGCCCCTTTCAGTAACTGTGCCTTTAAATCTTCATCTGTAAATGCATTAAATATCTTTTAATGCGGCAGTTGTTTGGGAACAAGTCCAAACATTTAAATATTGTGGCCAGGACATCACGGCTCAGACTCCTTGTGCCATGCTCCAGTGGAGGACTTGGAGCAGGCAATAGCTTCCTTCTGTGGGAAGTGTCAGCAGGGTCAGGGCTGATGCATTGTAAATCAGTGCCTTGACAGAACAGCACCGTGTTTTACTCAGTCTGCTCTCGTCAGGTTGAAACTCATGTGCAATTCTAGCACTTGCTGCTGGGGAAGAAGCTCTCTGGGTGATAACAGCTTCCCTTTGACACCCAAATATGAACAGTAAACCAAGCTGTGGGCTGCTGCTATGGCATTGCTGCAGTGGGAACCCAAGGAAGAGGTGGAATAAAAGTGTTTTCTTTCTCTCCTGAACATGTGGCCAGCTCTGAAGACTTACAAAAAGCCCATGTTCAGTGCTTCATCTTTGCCATCCCTGCACTGGCACAGGTGAGTTGGTGCCAGCACTGCCCTGTCCCTTCCAATCCTTGCTGTCCCTCCCCGCTCAGTGGCACAAGGTGATGTTTGAGGTATGGCACCTGAGGGACACCACAGAAAGGCCAAAAACCTGAAAAGCTCACACCAGGCCACGATTATAAAACCAATCCTCAGCATCAGCATTCAGCAGTCAATATTCAGCATCTCACCTTGGTCTTGGTGCAGTCCTGCCTGGCTGGGGCTGGCCAGGGAGCTGTGTCAGGATGAAGAGCCCAGGCAAAGCCAACTTAGAAAAGGGACAGAAACAAAAAAAGGGAAAAATCTCAGCTTTGAATTTAACAAACAGCAGATGATATGGCTGTGTCTTGTTTGCTTGGAGCCAAGTGAAACCCTGCTGCTCTGGAGCAAAACGGCGAGTTATTGAGGTGAGAAAATGCGTGGGCTGGAAGCTGACCTGCCACATCCCTCCCCTCCCGCCCACGGCTGGGTCCAGCCACCACAGGGACAGACCAGCCCTGTAACGAGCTCACCAGAGCCATTCCTCAGCCTTAGGCAAGGAGAAAAGAGAGATGAAAAAGAATAACCCAGAGAGAGAATTTAATTGTAAACTCTCGCTGGTGAAGGTGAAGCATAAACCAATAAATGGTAGAAATGCGTCTGATAAGCTCTGTGAGGAGAAGATGAGAAATGTGTTGGCTGCATGTGGGATGTGTGGGATGATGAAAGGCTTTGGAAGTACCTGCAGCAGGAGAAAGACCCGTGGGGAGTAATAAACAGGGTGCTTAGCACAGGTTTGGGGGAGCTTTAGGCTTTGGTCGTGGTGATGCTCTCGCCTTTCCCTGTGGGGGAGAAGAGCCAGGAGGGAAAGCTTGCAGGGAAAACACAGCAAGAGGGATCTGAGAGTTCAGCTTGGAGTGGAAGCATCCACAGAGGAGCCTTTGCTGATGCTGCCTGCAGCACTGATAGGTGGGTTGTACTTACTACAAGTTGGGCTGAGCCTCTGAAGCTCTGCTGCTCCACCTGAGCCCCGGCAGGGACTCCAGCCCTGGCTCCAGGAGGGGAAGCTGCTGCATCTCTGCACCCCAGCATCCCTGGTGGTGGCATCACCAGGACCAGAGAAGGAATCCTGTAATAACCAACCCACTTTAAAAGCAGTATCAAGTACTTTTGGTTATCTGCAGCTGGGAACACACCCAGCTTCAGATATTCCAGTCTATGTAATTGAATTATTTAGGGGCTGGCATGGTGTGATGAAATAGGCTTTCTTCCTATTTTTAGGTTTCCATCTACAGGGCTGGAAATTACAGCCATTAAAATGTTCTATTAGTAATGATATATAAAGGGGAAAAAACTGATCAGACTTTTCTAGTGCACATAGAGCATTAGGATATCATTAATTTTAATGATAGAGCCCAAAATTACAAAGCTATTACAGTCATGCTTGAAGTTTCCGGAAAAAAAAGAGAGAGAATCAGTCTAAATTGTTGTTAATGAGTAAAAAAATATTTAAATCATATTTAACGGACCTTACAATTATGGCTGATGTCTCTGTGGGCTGATGATGGCTTAGACTAGGGTTGTTCCCTGGTGCTGACAAAACAAATGTCTGGGACAAGGCAGCAATGAAGGGAGTCCAGGAGGATTTGCTGGAGTGTTCTGGAGGGGAACAGAGAGAGGCTATGTTCCTTTTAGGGCTGCTTTTGGCCTTTTATTCCCACCTCTAAGCCCTTGTTACAGGATTCCTGCTGCCCTGGAGGAGGTTTCCAACTCCATCGGCTGCTGAGCAAAAAAAAAAAAAACAACCAAATTCCCAGCCCTGTGCACTGTGAAGTAGCAGCAATTAATGGCCCTTGGAGGGCTGGAGATTTTCATCTTGCTTTTTCTTTAAAAAATAAATGACTGAGGAACAAAATCCTTTGGGAAAGCAGATGGGGGAAAAGAAGAAAGTTGGAAAGAAAATGCTTGAGGTGCTTTGTGCTGCCTGACCCTCTGGCATGAGGGGAAAGGATGCAGCACCCAGAAAGCAGCTGGGATTTCCCTGACCTGCAAGCACAGGCAAGGGGACTGCGTGCTGTGCCAATGGGAGCTGGATCCTGGATTTATTGAGGCATGCTTGCAATAATTCAACAAGCATCCCCTGGCCTGGGAGCAGTGACAGAGCCGAGTCTCTCCGGAGCAGGGCTGTGACCGAGGGACAATTTACTGCCTTGTCCTTGACAGCTCCGGTCATCTCTAAGTCACCAAACCCTTGACTTCCTCATGGAAGGAAGGAAAAGCTTTTTTTCCAAAGGAAAAGCCCTCTCTGCTGAACCTCCCACTGCTCCTCTTTGCTGGCAGCTCTCCCAAACGCCCTGAAACACCTGAGCAGAACACCTGCAATAACTTCACAGGCTCATAATGCTCTGGGTGACATTAAGGCTATTTTTCCAGGTTCCTGCTACTTGAGACACTGCAGTAGAAGGGTCAAAAACTTTTCAAATTCATTAGGCCTCAAAATAGCTGCCTCGTTAAGCACGGCGGAGACGCCGATAACGGGAGGCGAAGCAGAGCGCCCCGGAGATTGGATGTGCACACCAGGCTGATAAATGGCTTCTCTGTGGCTATTCCAGAGCTGGCAAGGGGAAAAATGCCATCCCACGGATGAACAGGCCCGGAGTTTAGTACGACAACTCTTGGAGCTGCCTCGGTTGGAATGAAACATCTCTGCCTTTGGGTTGAGGCAGCAATGTGACCTTCGGGAGAGGGGCTGCAGGAGAGCAGCCAGAGGCCAGCAGGGATCTGCCTGGGGTGCAGAGCCTCCCCATCCTTCCTCAGGGGCATTAAAGTGTTGGCGTTCAGGAACACATCATCACGAAATTATTATATGCAGGTGCTTTTATTGAAGAGCTCTGAGTGCCAGGGGTACAGACCCAAATCCGACTCCGCCATGGTTTTGAGCCGGACGTGTTTTATATTCTATCATTATGTAACTTACATATTATTTATTAAACTTACACTGTTCTATTGTATACATTGATTTCATCCAAGCATAGGTTTCTCTTGATCCCCCCTCAAACCCTTGAACATAGTTTCTCATGATTCTTCTTACTATTAAACAATAATTATATCTAAGCAATCATCACATCTGACAATTATATCATTTATCATATACTGGTTACACAGGTGCAATTTCACATGATCTGGCAAACACAAGGCCTAACGTTTCCCAGGGCCTACTTTTAACATTTTCCCAGGGCCTACTAAGCCTAGCTTTCTTTCTAACTCCCCAAATTTTCTATGATTTTAACCTCTGCAGAATGTGAGGAGGAACAACACCTCGTGTCCTGCACCCCCAAAGGGTTTCCACTGAACTCAGCTTGGTCAGCACTGGCTGCAGATCTGGGACATGCAGCACACCAAGGCACTGAACTGCTATCCCCTTCCTGATGGATCAGAGGGAGGATGAAGACAGACAGTTTTCTCTGACCAGGGTAATAGAGTCAGCAATTCCACTTGGATAAGCACATGGATTTTATGTCGTCCCTGCGCAGCCCTGAACAAAACACGCCGGTGGCAGAAGATGCACAGCGCTCTCTGCGGAACAGCATTCCCTACGTGGAAGCTTGCTGCTTAAGAAGAAAGCACTCGAACACTTTGGAAAATAGGAAGATCCCAAAGCTGAATTTTAGAGTGCTCATCTTGCAGCTCCCAAGTTCATTACCAGCAGCAGCGAGCGCCGGGTGGCACCGGTCCAAGCGGTGCTTAGCACGCACATCACTTGGAGTGGACCCACAGGCCCAGAGTAGCTGGAGGTGTTACTCACATCCTAAAAATCCAGCATCTGTCAGAGTTCTTGATGTTGGTGTTTTTTCCATTTTCTTTTTAATGCCAAGACTGGCACCAGCTTTGTTCTCAGACTCACCCTGTCCTTGCGAGGCAGATGAGGCTGGAGGTCCCACAGCCCCTCACAATCCTGAGGCTCTTCCTTGGGCTCTGCCAACAAGATTTTCCCCACTTGTCCTCATTTCCCAACACCAAGGTGTTTTCTGTTTTATGGAAAGCAGAAATTGAGATAAAAACCCCCCACCCATGCATGTCCTTCTTGTGATGCTTCTCCCTCTGCTCCTGCTGTCCAGCGGTTTGGGCATCTCCTTTGGAGAGTGCTTGGAAAAAGAAATCACTTTAATGAAAAGGCTGGGGGAAAAGATGATGTTCAGGGCGATGCACATGGGAGAGCTGCCCAGATCTTAGGGGAAATGGACTCCCTAGGCAGTCAGTGGGAACAACGGGGACAAAGCCTGCCCTCCTGGAGTGGGTGCAGCGGGCAGGTGGGGAGGAGTGAGTGGGAAGGCAGAGAGACTTTGGGGTGTTGGAATGTTGGGATGTTGGGAACACAAGACAGATGATGGACTTTGGACCTGGTTAACGTAAGAGATTTGATAACAGGATGCCCTGGCAAAAGCAAACGGAACTTTGCAAATTAGACCTAGGTTGCAAGAAGATTAAATCAGATGAGTTTACCAGAAAAAGAAAATCCCATTAAACTCTGCAAGCAAGAGATCTTGTTATATACATAAGTTTGTGTATGTGATTTTAACCTAATCATTGTAGTACACATTGCTAGTGTCCCTGAAATGGTATATAAGTATCCCACAATAAAATTGGATTCTGATCACTGAGTCAGTCTCCCCATCTCTCTCATTGCCGACATTGGGGTTCTCCTCACAACTGCACCAAGGCTTGCCTGGCTGAAGGCTGGCAAAGGGCACCTGTGAGTGCTCAGATTGGAACCACCCAGCAGTGAGGCTTTCTATTCCCTAATTTTGCCCAGCCCATGCTCCTGCTGTCTGTGGTCATCCCTCCCATCTCCCTCCCCCAGCATCCTTCCCTGTGGTGCTGCACGACCTCCGACAGCGCCGGCGTCCTTGTCAGGGAGGGAAGTGTTGGTCTCCTCTTCCTGCCCTTGCCTCTGCTGAAATTCAGGTGAAAGCTGATTTTGGCAGGCAGCAGGGCTGCAGGGCACAGCCTGTCCTGCCCTGCCTCTCCTCGGAGCCTGAGCAGGCACAGCTGAGCACACAGCTCAGGAGCTCAGCCCAAACCTGCTCTGGTTCACCAGGAGACAGCCACGATACCTGCAAATTCGGGCTGAGCTTCGCCAAATCTATTTGCTTGATCAGATTTATGTAGCAATTCCAGGACGAGGTGAATAATGAAAATGACTCATGAATATTTCATTCTTATAAATCACATAATTCATATCTATTCACAAATATTTGCTTTGCCTTATAAACTGGATGAATAATTTACAGAAATACGGAGCAACTATTTTAAAGGAAATATGAAATCCATTGACTACATTAATCAACAAATATTATTCAACTTTTACAGGTTCAGCTTGCTGACAGGCACATTCCCTGTTTATGAGAGGAGCTGGAACAGCAGATGACATTTCCCATATTAAAATACGTGGAGATGGAGCTCACTTATCCCCATGTGAGGGTATTTCCACGCTTACCTGCTCAGTCTTGGCCATGGCAGTCAGTGCAGGAGCCCCAGATTTGTGTTGGCAGAGGGCCTGCTTGAGGAGAGAGAGCTGTAGGAGGGTAAAATAAGTGCTTATTGATCCCACTTTTTCTTGGCTGGCAGCTCTGACAATAAGTAGTAAATAAACTGTTAATTTTTCTAATTTTTGCAGTAATTCCCTCAATTATTGAGCTTTTTTTAAAAAAAATCAGCTGCTTAAACAGAGTATTAAGTGACAGCATTAATCCACCTGTATTTGAATGATAAAGTGATTAATCTGACTCATTTAAATACTGTGATAATTTGATGATGAATTTGTCCTGATGGCAAAACGGGCTCAATGGCCAGGAAGCATGGGAGATGCATAGGGACAGGAACAGCCCTCATCCCAAAAAGGTCACCTTGATCACTCCAAATCCGTCATCAAACAGCTCCATGGCTGTGGCTCGCAGCGTTCCCATTCTCCTTCACCTCGGATCCTTGATCCTGGGACACTCCTGGACTGGAAGCAGAGAGGATGGCCAGTGCTGGAGGGGCCTCACATCAACACATCACAACCACGCTGGAGATGCTGTGGAGCAAGACAGTCCATCAGGGGCAGGGCAGGAGCTGAGGGTACAAGGACATTGTCGCCTCGTGTTTCAGGCACCAAAGCATCTGAGGGATGCCAGCACCTGTGAACTTGCAAGGAAAATCATGGGAAAGCCTGGCAGATGGAGGTTAAAGTCCTCTCTGCTCCGTGAAGGTGCCACTCACTGCTCCGTGGGGAGTCTAAGTGCCTGAGACACTTGGTGACCATCCTGGTGTGGGAAAACCAGGCTTTCACCTGGGAAACTAGGAAGAGCAGAGAAAGAACCAGGTCTGCTTCTTTCTCCTCTCCTTTGCAATGTAGTAACAGAGTGAGGAGGGATGGGGCAGCTTTGTGATGCCCAAATTAAGCAGCTCCTAAGAGCCCCCCAGCCTGAGCTAAGCAGGAATGGGGTGCAAATGTCTGTGTTTGAGCTGGGTCCCTGAGCTGTGGGGCCGAGGCCAACAGGGATCCTGGAATTTCATGCTGGTTTCTGCACCCCAAAGCAAGCAAAACTCAACATCCTTTTTAGTATTCCTACCACTGGCAGCCTGTCTTCCAAACTATCCATCTGTAACATTTGTAGGGCTATTAAGAAGGAAATACAATTTCATAGTCACAGATAAGAGATTAGACAGATCAATTCCTCCCCGCCACATGGGCTGGGAGAGAAAGCTCAATTCCAAATTGCAGTGGAGGTTTTTGTTCTCCTGCTTTATTGAGCTGTGGGTCCTGCCACCAACTTTCCTGGTTGTTTCCTCATTAAGAGCAGCACGTTCATGACTGATAAGACAGCCAGACGTGCAGTCAGGAGGGACCTGGCTGTGGGGAATCCTTTGGGATTAAGGAGGCTGAGCTTGCCTCAGCAGCCGTCCATCTCCTGCTTTGAGGCAGCTGTGGCAGAGTGCCTTCTTCCCTTGCCCCCTTTCTTATAGTAGATATTTTTGCCTGATGTCCAGGAGGAATGATGAGGAGGACTCCTTATTAGAAGGCTAATTAATTACTTTATTATACTATATTATTCTATATTATATTACATTATATTACATTACATCTAAACTGAATCTGCCAAGCACTCAGCTGCTCACTGCCCAGCATCTCCTGACTGTCAGCTGACAGTCCCAACACACACACCTGGATCCAATGGCTCAGTGAATCAAAACACTCACACCACAATCCAGTTATCAATTCCCTTCAGGTAAACAATCTTCCACGATGCATTCCACTTGTGAACAACACAGCAGCAGTAAATGAGATAAGAATTGTTTTTCCTTTCTCTGAAGTTCAGAGAATACGAATCCCAGAAATTCCTTGGGAAGTCGTGCCTTGCTTTTCTCTGCCAAGAGAAATGCGGCTACGCTTTCCCATCTCTGGGGTTTGAGCTGGGAATGATTCCCCCCGGGAGGGCTGTGGCTGCCCCATGGGGCTGTTTTGGCACGGGGAGCACGCGGTGTGCTGGCACGGAGCGCGTGGTGCGCCGCGGCGGGGAGCCGAGGGGACTGTTACCCTACAACATGTCACACTGTGCTAGGCTGCGAGACGAGAGGCTGTCAAAATATTTAGCGGCAGAGAAACTGAAACCTCTCCATCCGAGGATGGGGAATTCCACACAAACAGCTCCCAAAAAAAACCCTCCTGTGTTTGTGGAAAGGGCTGGCAGAGGCGGGCAGAGCCTGGCGTGACCCACAGCCAGCCAGGGATGGTTGCTCTCCAAAGTTTTGGATATAGACACCAGCAGTGGCTTTGGGGCAGAGCAGCATGTGCACAACTCTTCAGAGGGTGATGGGCTTGGCCAGTTGGTTCTGTGGCCCCAACAGCCGTGGAAAACCTCTGGCTTCTCCCATCACCATTGGCAAAGAGCGCTGCTGATAGCTCCTGCAGCAGTCAGGGGAGTGGGTGACATGGGTGCAAGGGGACAAAGCAGAGCCAGTCCAGAAAGGCTGGGAAAAGGATAGGGACCCTGCTAAGAGAGCTGTAGGATGGTGAAAGGGCACTAGTCTCCCAGGATCTGAGTCATCCCAAGGCACTGTGTGCTCCTCACACCTGCACACATCAGCTCTGTGCCGGAGAACCCTGAATTATTTATAGCTTGTTATCATCCCCCAGGTATTATTTGTGTAACCATTAGTTTCTGTAAAGTGTATGAAAGAAGCTGTAAAACATCAAGCATCTCCTCACTTCACCTGGGAGCTGATTATTTTCTTGCCTGATTTACCAAGCTTCAGCTCAACAACTTTAACCCTTTGTGACAGAGGCGTGCAAGCACTTCAGCATCTTGTCAGCTCTCAGCTGCTCCCCTAGGCAGAGCCTGGATCTTCATCTCCATGCACAGGGCAGTGTGGGACCCACTGCTACCAGTGCTGTCAGTGAGGGGAGAGCTGGACACTCCTGTGGTGGGAGAGTTTATCCAAACAGGAGCAGCTTTTGACTGAAAAGCTGTGGCTCTTCTCTGCATAAATACGTTTTTTTAAATAATGATTTATTCAACAGTATAATGAATTCAGTGCCTTTTAAATGTGACAGTGGATAAAATACATCGGCCTTCTGCAGGCGTAAATGTCATCTGGAAAGATCAGGCTTTCTTTTCCCTCCCCCGTGCTCGTGGGCAGTCCTTTAATTCACTGCTCGTTTTCCAGGTGCTCAGGGACTGGTGTGGCCATGAGGCACAGCATCTCCACATCCCTTCATCCCTGAATCCTTGCCCCCTCACATCCCCACGCCCCACGGCGTCCCTGCCCAAACCTGACAAAGAAGAATCCGGGGAGAAGGATTTGGGGGGTGAAAGGCAGACCCCACAAAGCTCAGGGAGGTGAAGGCCTTGTAGGGGTTTTCAGAAGATGGCAACGTGTTTCTCTTCACACCCAAGTCAGCAAAAGCAAACACAATTACACTTCAGTGTACGTAGAGAGCCAACCAAAAAATAAAACAGAAATGACAAAGCTGACTAGCAAATAGCCCTGAAACTCACTTAGTACCGACGTGACAAGGGGCTCGGACAAGGCTTGAGAAATAACTCTATAAAGAGAGCACTTTAGAAACCAAATAAACTGTTCCACAGACACAAAACAATTACCCCAAGCAAGCTCATATCGATTTCAGGCACCAAGCCAAACTAGCAGCACGCAGGTCCTCGTGCCAGCAGTGCCCACTCAGCACCCGCTGGCCCCAGCAGCTTCCCCACCACGTTCCATGGGAGAGAGCAGCCTAAAACCTGGGAGAAGACAGGTGACAGCAGCAGGAGACAGGGGCAAAAGGGAAACCACTGGAGAAAGCAGTGAGATGCAGAAAATACAGACAAAACTGTAGAAGCAGCAGTATAAACATGACCAGGCACTGCCCAGTGATACTGATAAAGCAGAGAGGAGTCCCCACCTCTGACACCCCCTAAAAATATGATATTTGGGGGTGTTATTTCAAAGGCAGGCACCATTCCCACAGAGGTTTGTACATTTTCCTCCTCAAATGTTTTTCCTCTCCTCTTGCTGCCAGGGTTGATGTAGGCATTTTTGCAAGGATGATTTTTCTGCCATCCCTGGTGGTTCTCCTCTTGTCATCGTCATTTCCCACGCTGATCCCTCCTTGCTCTGCAAGGGGCTCTGTGCTCAGTTTACCCACTGGAAATGGCTGAAAAACTGCTGGAAATAGAAAGCTCATCAAGAAATGATGGAAATGATGGAAAAAAGAACACCTTTTCTCTAAAATAATTTAACTGATTGGATTAATAGCCACTGACCATCCCAGGGCTGGAGGGCAGAGTCTGGCCATCCCCACCCATCACCCAGCTGGCCAGAAAGCTGCTCCCTCAGTCACAGCTCCACAAAGCAGCTTTTCCCTCTCTTGGAGAATTGAGGAGCCTTTGGAGAAGCACGCCAAAGGCACAAAACCCATGGGAAAAGTCCTCCAGCCTTCATGCAAGTGTGTTTGGGAGAGGGTAGCAAAGAGGGAAACAGCACATTGGGCAACGCTGCTGGCACTGCAGACCTGGCCGAAAACAAAAATAGCATAAAGCCTCAATTTGCAGCTTTTAGCGCCAGTGGAGAGGCATGAAAAGTGGGATGTTCACAGGCATCTCAGCTGCTCCCCAGCATGGCAGGGAGGGGATGCCCTTGGCACACTGGGCAGCGCTCCCCGGGAAGCGCATCCACAGCGCCGGCTGCCCGCTGAGCAGCTGCCCTGCCAACAGCAGCAGCTGGTACACGGTAAAAAAACAAGGCAAAAAACCCCCACATTAAAATGTTTTTCTTGCAGATTATTGAAGCAACTGTAGCAAAAACTTCACATTTAATATGCGTGACCTGCTCTGTGCTCTCCGCTAGAATAAATTGGTGGAACATCCTGCGCAGCCAAAGCATCAGGGGGTGGGGCCAGCTGTAAATGCCAGGGGAAAAAACTCCAAGTAAAGTCAGCACATGGACCAATATTCCCATCTTGGCCAACAGACTTTAGATGGCAAACCTGATCATGGAGAACAGAACATCTGGGAGTTGCTGTAGTCCAAGCCAGGTCCATAAGGGAAGGGGGAAGTGTGGGGAGCACCCCCAGGAGCACAGATGAAGGCAGGAGCCTTGCTCAGCTGTTCCATTAAAAATCCGCTGCCAAACATCGTGTTTTCCAGAGCTCCCATTTAAAGGTGTGTTGTAGCTTGCAGCTTCCTAATTACCTTAGATGTTCTGCATAATTTTTTTTTTTTTTAATTTCAGATGGGAAAAGACCATAAACTTGCTAATTAATTACTTTTTAGCCCCGGCGCATCAACTGAAGCACACACTTCACACAGAGCATCTCCTCTCCACAGCACTCCACGGGAAACCTCCTCCGTGCCGAGTGCTCCAGCAAGTGACTGTGTTTGCAGGGATTTCACCAAAACCCCTGGGGAATGAAGGGAGGAGAGAACAAGGAGCCTGGTAACCCTCTTGGTAACCCTATTTTTGGCTTTGGCAGCAGCTGCCCACTAAATGCAGCCCCTTGCCCAGCTG